GGGAACGGGAGGGGGGGAGGGAGGGAGGAAGGGAGGGAGGAGGAAGCAGTCGTGGGTCACCCTCCCCGGCTTCCCTCACGGACCCTGCCCTGTGCGGGGAGCCGGGCGCTCGCCGCGCCCCTTCCCCCGGCCACCAGACGAGTGCTGCTCCTCCTCCGGTCGGGCCTGCGGGGGTGGACTGTCGCGGTGACCTTTTTTCCTCCCACCGCCCTCTCCGCAGTTGTCGGAGGTTGTTTGGGGTGGGAGAGTGGCTTTTTCCAACCCTTCATCCTTTACCCCCTCTGGGGAGTCGTCTCCAGTGCTCCGGCGTGGCAGGGACGGGGCAGGCAGGCTTGCGTGACTTTTTTTTCCTTGCACGAACCGGGCAGGAGGAACAGACGCTTGTCGTGGGGATGGTGTTTCTTTCCTTCCCGATCATTTCTCGTGGCTCACAAATTTTTGCAGTTGCTTCCTCGGTTAGCCAGAGAAGTCATACCGAGATAAGTTAGCTGTATGCAGCTTCCGTTGGAAACGGCTTTCTGGCGTGGAGTTGGGCAGTCACTTGCGGTTTCACCTTTAAAAAATAATTAAATAAGACCTTGTCATGCTTAAGTCTTTGACAGTGGGTTTGCGTGCCCGTCAAAATCCATGTCGTTCTCGGCCTGTGGAGGTGACCTACTTTCTAAACAGGGAACGTATATGGTTGTCACACTGTAATACACACTGTAAATTGAACTGTGCCAAATTAATTACACCAGGTGTTGCTGTGAAAATATGTCACTCATGGACCAACTGTTTCACATATAATGTTATCCCAAGGGATGATACTGTTTATGCCATATTCATTTAATCGGGATTTCAGTGGAAACTGAAGCTGACCTGAGCTGAGGTTTTTACTGGTTCTCTAGCTGCGGAATGGAAAAATGTAGCTTTTACTCAAAATGCCAGATCTCTGCTAGTTTGACTGTGACATGAAGTGCAGCTGGGAGAACTTGACATGACATAATATGCTCCATTGCCACCATCTTGACGGTGAACAAATGGGCTGATCTTCCGCTGAGAACAGCACACAATGTTCTCCTAGAGAAAAGCCAAAGAAAAATCCTGTGACTTGAAAAACATTTTTTGTTGTTGTTGTTGTCTACTTTCACTTTATACCTATATCACTAACCTTTAGCAATTATAATGTTCTCAACTGAGGATACAAGATACTAAGTGAGTCTAGTTTGTTGCATCTCTGTCCTAGATATTTATGGACATAGCACTTGCAAATCCTGCTGTGGCAATAAGTCTGTTGAATATTGATATTGCTGATTTTATGGAAGAAGATAAGATTAAGTTGGGGGATCTGTACTGCTGAGTACATCTCTTGCATTGTTCCAGTTGTAATGCTTTAATTTTACCACCTGAGGAGAAACTAAATCAAACTTTACTGTAAACAGATTATACCTTATGAAGTATGTCTGCTGCTCTGAAGAAAAAGAAAATACCTGCTTTCTGTGACTTCTTTTTCTTTCTTCATGTGAGCCAGTCTATTTAGGAAAATTTTTCTGCTTCTTAAAAACTTCCCCCGTTTCCAAGTCATTTTTTATCAGTTCAACCCTGCCTATCTCTGGCTAGCTAATAGCTTTCACTCTCTTGTCTCTCTAAAATAGTGAGAAATTATTCACATCTGTCTCTTATTTTATATATGATCAGTACAAGGTGGCAAATTGGTAGCTATCAGTAGTTAACTATTTGGAAATATTAAATATCAGTTATGTTGAGCTATAGCACTGTTCAAATCCATCATTTGGCTGCTGGAAAGGTGACGGTTTGTGGGTCTCTAGCAGAGCGCTGCTGCGAGATTTTGTTTGAGAAATGCTGCCTGTTCCATAGGGAATTGATTTGAACAGCAGTGCCAATTTCCTACTCTTGTATGACTGGGAAGCTTTTTCTGTTCTTCCTATAAAGCCCCAATATCTCTGTCAGTTTCTCTGCTCTTAGTTTGTCTTTTGTGCAAAGGGAGGAGGTGGGATTGGGGGAATACCACAGCATACCTCTATAATAATAAGTCTCCATACTCCACATTTTCTAGCAGTAAAGTACTGAAGGTGACATGGTGGCTAGTTAAACTCTGTTCTGCAGGGCTCTGCATCAATCAGTGTTTTATTGGTTTTCTGCAGCAGAGCTTCCAGAAGATGCACTGGAAGGAACCTGAAAGATGAGATGAATTTGATGGAATAGAATAATATGATGATGCAACTCAAGGGCTGCACATCAGTGTCTGGAGTGCATACTGCTGATAGAGAGGTTTTTGTTCACTTGCTTCTTATCTGTTTACATGAAATTCAGTCTCCTTATTTTGACAGTGCCTGTGCTCTGTCTAGGCTGCAGGTACAGGTAGAACCCAATGGCACTAATGCAGAACTTAGTGTGGGAGAGTTTACTGTGCTTCTGGGATAGGCTTTGCAGTCCATGTGCCCTTATGGTTGGCATTGCTGCTGGCTTCAAAGTAGTAGCTTAGAATTAGTTCAGGACTTCACTGCAGTCATTACTCCTTCTCAGTCTCAACCTTCCCGTGCATAGTGCTTCTCATCTTTTCCTTATTAATTTGTGCTTACCCATTCCTTCCCTTACGCCTGGTGCAGTGTCTCAGTCAAATATTTTCTTTCTCCAAAAAATGTCTAAGTGATAATTGATTCAGCAGTGCTCTTCCACTGAAGTAGCCGTGAACTACCATTTAACTCAGTTATTGGCAACATGGATGAGTAAGAGGTTAAACATGCAGAATAAAAGAATATACATTTTTTCACCAGTGCTCTCCCACTGAAGTAGCCGTGAACTACCATTTGACTCAGTTATTGGCAACATGGATGAGTTATTGGCAACATGGATGAGTAAGAAGTTAAACATGCAGAATAAAAGAATATACATTTTTTCACTTTCTAGAGCAGCCTACTTGCTGAAATGTGGAAAAAGGCACGTATAAAGTTACGTGAGAGTTGAATTCTTGTTTAGGAAAAGTTCAGTTGTTCAGCTGACTTACATTCTCTAATTTTTTTAGATAATCCTATTTTCAACAAATAGCAGAAGATCACAAGCTATTGGATTTGTTATCTAATTATGGGGAAGACGCTTCAGTCTTCACATGAAAAAGGATTGTACTTCCTTACTGAGCATAGAAGCCTTGAGCTGTAATCATTCATTCCGTAGTTCAGATTATGCAACTAAGTCAGTACTTGTATATAATTTGGAGAGGAGGGGGGAGTGTCTTGATGTGGGAAGAAAAAAAGATCAGGATTGAGTGAATGAAGCTTTTGTGGACCAATTGTCTGTAGAATTACTTTGTTAATTAATGCCACTATTCTTGGTGTTTGACCAGCTGAATGTTACCTTTTGAACATAACAACCTACTTGCCCCTAGCAGTTAACAGGACGACTGTGCATTTCAATGTCCAGGTGCTAAGCAGAAGAAAAGTTCTGCTTGAAGATGGTGAATTTGCAAGTAGGAGGAATGATTGAAAGCCAAAAACTTCCCATGTAATGCCCAGATGACTCACTGAGAGGTAGCTAGGAGAGAGTGGAAGGGGGATTGCTACTAATGCAACTGCTGCTCAGGCCGAAATGATTAGACCCATTGCCTCAAAGTTCTAATATAATTGCATATGTAGTGGTTCAGCCGATGGGTAGAATCACCTGCCGTGTTACAATTTCTACAGGCGTTTCTTTGCTCAGCATCTTGATGTGATTGTTAGGTTTGTTAAGATCTTAGTTTGAAAATATATGTAAATTCTAAAACTAATTTTCTGCAAACCTCTTAGATGCTTGATATTCTTTAAGTAGTATTTGGATTTCTTCTAAACTGACACTGAGTTGTATGATTGTTTTTAAACAAATAAGAACTTTGTATTAAAGATGCAGTTGTACTAAGGACAAATGCTGCAGCAAAATGAAGAATACAGTACTACAAGCTAAATAGCAACAGTAAATATTTTTTATAAATTTTTTGATATTGCAGTTTACTGAACAGTCTATAAAACTGTACAAATGTTATCAATTCTCAGAAATTCATGCTGAAGTGCAGTTGAAGAATTATGGAAAATTTCTTGAGGAGTATACATCTCAGCTGAAGAGAATTGAAGATGCTTTGGATGACTCTGTTGGAGATGTTTGGGACTTCAGTCTTGATCCCATTGCATTAAAGGTCTTCATATATTTAATATGCATTGCAACTGTTATTTTCCTAGTTCCTCCTTCCCTTCAAAACCTGAGAAGTAAAAGCTTGATGCATTTGTGCTCTTAAAATTTTGAGGTTTGTGTTTGAGAAACCTATCCAATACTATGTGAATTATCAAGTAATTAGTAAATTGGTGCACATCATAAGAGAAGATGTTTTCATATTATTCTTTTCCAGTCTTTTGGATACTAGTGGAAGTTAAGTGAATTTATAGTTCTTCATGTGTTGGGAAGCCTAATTCCAGCAAACTTCTTCCCTGTGGGTGTTGGTGTTTTTGTCTGGGGGTTGGGGTTACAGAAAAGCTCACTAATACTTGTATAACTGCAGAGCGAACTGTGTGTGTATTTATAGTGGTGTTTTGACTTAATGGCCTTGGTACAGTATTTTCTGTCCTCCAGAGGTGGCTATTTCCTTGGTCATGAGTTCTCTGTCTTCTGTGGAGCATTTTTGTTTTTCCTCTTCACTGAATTTGCAGACATCATTTAAAAACACTTTGGTTACCATATGGAACTTGTCTGTGCTAAAGATGCACTGAAGTAATCATCTGTCTGAATAATTTGAATAAATTATGTGTAGGGCCAGCACAGTGCTGGATGTATATGAACTGGTCAATATAATGGCTGACTTCAGTATAAAATGTCAGTGTCTGCATACATATATACATTATGCATCCTATTTCCTGCATTTGGGATCCTTAATTCATGTTTTAGGTTTCCTGAGCTGTTTTTTCTACATATACCATAATGACCATGCTTTTGCTTTCCAAGTTTTGTAAGTAAATTGTAGTAAATGCTATATAGTATATCTATTTATTTGCCTTTCTGCCTAGAGTGAAAGGAAGGGTATTTCCATGTAAATGTGAAGAGCAAAGGTTTCCTGCAGCGTAGGTTGCCAGTAATGTGCAATTATTGCTCTCTTATTACTGAGCTTATTTGAGATTAAACTGGGGGAAAAAAATGACTTAGTTGGATAAATGTATTTTTGACCAATATTTTCTAAAGTTGTTTGGTTTTGGTGGTTTTTTGTTTTTGTTTTTTTTGAATTTTAGCTTTTGCCATATGAACAGTCCTCCCTACTGGAGCTCATAAAGACAGAAAACAAGGTAAGCACTTTATGCTTACAAGAAAAAAATATAAAAGAGTTATTCTAGCTAAAACCAAGCTCTCTAAACATGAACCTTATCTGTAATCTGTGTGGTTTTTTCCCCTTCGAGTCTAGGTTCTAAACAAAGTAATAACTGTGTATGCTGCCCTTTGCTGTGAAATCAAGAAGTTAAAATATGAGGTAAATTCAGCTGACTTTTATTACTGTGTATGAAAATGTTTGCAGATTGGCAAGCTGATATATAAATTTATTCTTTAGCAGTAAAGAAACAAGATATAATGTCTAAATTTTTAAAGCATGATTACATATATCCTATTTATTAAAAAACATTTCTGCTTTTGTTGTTAGGCAGAAACTAAATTTTATAATGGCCTCTTGTTTTATGGAGAAGGAGGTAAGTAGCTCCCTTTACTGTAAAAGTTTGTAGTTTTACGTTATTGTTTCAGGTTATGTTAAATGCTACAGTAAGTGTAATTTTATAATACGGATACACGCTTTCTCTGTATCTTTGACTGACGAACACCAAATAATGGACTTTGAGGTTATAGTGATCTTTGTTAGTGTCTTGTAACTGTCCTGAGTTAGCTTAAGATAACAGTAAGATTTATCTGTTACATTAACAGAAAGTTTTGTTGCAGTCATTTACAGGAGAAATAGGGAGTATGGGCTGTTGAGGTTGTACTGAATGTATAACATGGAAACCTGAGCTTGTATACTGTAGCAGCTGTTTTTCAAAGTATGGCATTGAAAACCTATTTTTCACATGTGAACACACCCTAAACCAACTTATTTCCTATTGGGCTAGATTTTACATTGGTTGTAGTAAAACAATAAATCTGTAATTTGATTGTAATAGAACAGTGAAACCATTAATAAATAACTTGGACCAAGTCCTGCCTACTCTACTTATGCAATCGTAGTTGTTCCAAGAGAAGTTGCAGTGTGTTAATGTCATCTGCTCTTCAAGTGCAGGTAATAGTACTTGTATTGCTATTTAGACTATGACATAATAGAGGGGCATAAGTGATTGTAAGTCAATTCAATTGACAAATCATGAGACCCTGCTTTAGGTTAAACTGGTAACTCCTTGGAAGGGTTGGTCTTAAGCTTCCACCTTAAAGGATGCTAGTCTGGGAATAAGCACAGATCTTGGTCCCGAGGACTGAATATATTAATGAGTTGATTTAGAGACATATCACCTAACTTTGTTTTCTATTTCAGAAATTTGAGAGAAAGGGAAAAGTAGTAAAAAGGGCTTTTTAAAAAGCTTTTTAAGAGCCTTGACTGTGACAGAAGTACTGGGGAATGTGAAGTCTTTGAGATAGGGACTGTTTATCATTCTTTTAGATGCTATGTAAGATGACTGTTGTGGTTCAGTTAAGGAACATGAAAAAGTGTTTTGATTTTTTTTGTTTGTTTTTTTTTCTTAGCAGATCCTCACTTCTTATAAGATGTGGTTTTAAATATCTTAAAAGAAAGTGATGTGCTGCCAAAATGATACTAGGGGATCCCTCAAAACTTCTCCGTGTCTCCAGCATGAAAAAAGTCAGACTGTTGCAGATTAACATATTACAGCAGCAGTTTGTTCCTGATGGGTGTTCTGCAGGGAATGCTTGAGAATGGCAGGAACTGAGAGGTCAGCCTTCTGTGGGTTAGGTGGGGATGCAGAAATCATGTTCTGCACTTCCATATCCCTCCTTGTAGCATCTACTTTGATAACAGCAAGCTGGCTTACTTAAAACAGCTGGCAAAGTTACTGGCTCAAGGATGGTTGAAATTTAAACAAATACTCTGCTGGCCTTTTCCTTCTTTATACAGAAACTTTTTTTTTTTCATTTTGTCCTTGGAGTGGCTAGGGCTAGTCTAGGAACTTGAAAAAGTTAGTTGGATTGGAGGTTTTTTGGGATATACACTAAACAGAGTAAAGGTTACATAAAATGTGTAAAGGGGAAGCATGCAAGACTTAGAATCTTGTCCCAGAGCTCCATCTTACAGAAGTATGGAGACTACTTTAGTCTCTGGTGACTGCTCTAAAATAACATACTTTATGAAGTAATAAGACCTGCATTTCTTATGCAGGTAAACTTGCAATTGTAAGCCATTTTTGCTCAGAGTGGCCCAATAGAAAAATCTCAAGTCTAGAGCATTAATCTGTCATCACATTAAAAGGCTGTATTTTGTCAGGTAGTATTACAACTGCTCCAACTGACTGAAACAGTTTGGCATTGGTGATGTGATTATTGTATTTCATAGTATCGTGTTGGTGTATGTTGTCATACAGGTAATGCTTTGAAGCTATGGTGATGAGCCCGTTCTTTTGTGCAGGATGATACGTAGGAAAAAGAAAATCAATTTCTTGAGAAAATTGTATGCTACACAGCTTTTTCTTCTGATTAAAGATGTAGTATATTCTTTCAGTAAATAACTACCAAGGATGTTCCTTGCAATATAAATATCTAGTGATTTCATACCAACTTTTTAAAATGGAAACTTTTATATTAAGTTATGTAATATATATACCTTTAAAGAATTACATTTCGAATTATTTTCTTTCAGGTGATGGAGACTTTTTTCCTGCTTTGTGTCTAACTTATAAACAATGTAATTTTTAATGAGAAAGAAACTTCAAAAATAAGTCCAGCTTAGGAAAGCAAAATTAAAAGTTTTTAAGGCTCCATCAGTATGCTTATAATAGTGCGCTCCACTTGTATGACAAACAAATGGTTTGGAGGGCAAGCTTCAATGTTATTTTAACAGGTCTAACACAGGCTTTTGGAAGTAGTGACAAATATTTGTCTTTCAAGCCACAGATTCTAGCATGGTGGAGGGAGACTGCCAAATACAGATGGGAAGATTTGTTTCTTTCTTGCAGGTAGAGTATGTTTTGGGTTTGGTTTTTTTTGACAGCAATTATAATCTGAATTTTACTTGTAAAGTGGATTTAACAGTCCGCAGTATCCTGCTTGCAACTTGCTGAAAGGCATTGCAGTCGTTTGATACCTTACTATGTTTTGCCTGCAGACCTGTCACAACCAGCTGATATATCACACGTTGTTTTGGTTTTTTATACTTGTCTAAACCTCTGGAAGCCTAATGAGAGAAGAAATTACAGTTTGTGTAATCATTGTTCAAAGAAATCAGAATTTACTTAGAATTTCAGTAAGAGAAGATAAATTGAGGTTGTTTCATTTGATGGTGAAGTTAGATACCTATTTTTATGGTATTGATTAATAAGTTTTAGTTTTCATTGAACATTGCAAATGGATTAATTGTTTATACACTTTTTTTTAGCTGATAGAAGAAAGTAAAATTAAAACATGTACCTGGAAAAAATTGCTTGTGTCTCACTCAAACTTTCAGGGAAGAACATTCATTTCGCATACAGTTTCGTTGTTATCAGGGTCCTTTGCATGAAAACAGGATCTGTGTTTCTTCTGAGGATTTCCTGTGCTCTTGGATTTCAGTCTACTGTGGAATTTTTTTGACTTTAGTATAGCTTAAATGACTGTCCTGTTCCCAAAAATGTTTTTATTTTTATGCAATATTGCTTGTAATGAAATACCTATGTTGAAGTAGAGAATATACAGGAAGCTTCCAGAATGTTTAAACAGATTCTAGTTTAACAAATGTTAAAATTCCTGTTCTTGCTGTATACTAGCATGGCAGGAGTCATTTACTGAGTCATAACAGGTTGAATGCTATAGGAAGTTGTTTCTCAACCTCTTTTACCGTGCCCGAGTGCAGTTAGTTGTTAGGATATCTTTGGGGGGGGGTTTCCCCCCATTTTTCAAGATTTTTGTCCTACCAACTTTTGTCAGTTTCTTCCTTCATCCTCTGTTTCTTTCCGAGCAGATGTTTGAGAGACCTTTTAGTAGTTCTGAAATGGGGCTACTGTACACTTGTGTTTTTCCAGGCTTTTTTTTCTTTTTCCTGCCAGGATGCTCTGTCCAGGTGGAAGTTGAGAGCAGGGTGACTGGCTGTCTGGATATCTATGAGCATTGCAAACCCACTCTGTAGAACAAGTTTATGTTTATTTATGGGGTATATGCTGATCTGTATGTTCATAGGGTAAACACTACACAAAAATATAGCAGTATTGCTTGTGAGCCCGCTTTGTATGTATGCTATGGTGGCTTGCTGATTGTTAGGCAACTTGGGAAAGAAGGGAGATGCAGGATGTTGCCCTAAAGGGAAGACTACAGTGTGAACAGGTGTATGTTGCTTTGGGTAAAGCTATGAGGAAGACTTTTTCCTTATTGAGTTTGTTCTTTTTCAACTGTTGTGTTCCTCTAAATCCACTCAGTAGTAGTCTATATCCATAGACTGGGAAATGCTGTTCTGGTCAATGTTATAAGCATATCCCCAAGGGCAGTGTGAAAAGATGAATGAAGATGACAAAAGAGGTGAAATGTTGCTTTCGTAGAGCTAATGTCCACATACTGGTTTATTTGCTCTTCTGAGTTCAGGATTTCTTGATTAACTAGATGTAATAGCTGCAAATTTGCTATACCAAAACTTTTTTTTAAATTATCAAAATAATGCTGTGAAACACTAGTTAGGTACTCTTGATCCTGCAGAAGACAGTGTATTTGAAGAACTCTGATAAAATTATAGTCTCATCTGTATTATGTAGCTGCTAATACACGTGCTGTTAAATTGGACTATTTCCTGGAAGTTCTAAAATGGCAGCTGGTGCTCCTTCCTCAGGAAACATGACCTCAGTTGTCTATTAATCCATTCTTCTGGAATCCATTGGCTTGTTTCAGCTGTATTTGATAGAGCAATACTAGTATAAGAAGTAACAACACTTTTATGTTTTGTGAAAACTGGTGACTAATAGAAGGCAGAAGCCCAAATAAGATCTATTTTTGATGGAGAGGAAGACAGAATTCAGCTGTTAGCCAGTCTTCTGGCAGGAACGGCAGGCTGGCTGGTTAGCCAGCGTGGGCTGTCTGCTCTGGAGCCATCTGTGTGCTGACTGGCTACACTCATCACATGCTGACTTTTCCCTGATGGGATAATAGGGTGCATTAATGAGAAAATATTATTGCAGTTAAGGGAAACTCAGATTCATTTATCCCATTGCTCAAGGAATGCCTTGTTAAAATCCGTTATAGAAATTAAAATAGTCCTTTACGTGGTTGGAGTTGACCTGTTCTTACTCGTTTTGTACTATATAACTGAGCTTAAGTTCTGTGTTAGTCAAACATACCTCTCAAAGACATTGTTTTCTTTTTTTGAAAGCAGTATTCTGTGGCTAGTCACTCTTACAGTAGATACAGGCTTCTGTGTTAATTTCTAATTTGAATTCAGCTATCACCAGCTCGCAGAGTGCGACTCTTGAATCTAATAGCAAAGGCTGTGCGTTTTCCCATCAGGGATATCTCTCTTAAGGTACTTGGGCACTGTTGTCAAGTAACTTCTTACTGTCTTTGATAAATTGAACTCTTGAAAACTTTTACAGCAAGATAATTAAAGTACATTGAACCTGTTATGGTGACTCTTCTCTGTACCTTCTTTAAAGAACCAATATCCTTTTTAAAATGTGGCCTTGGGTATCAATTCTGGTATTTTAGTATCTAGATTGTCAAAGCCATATGCTAGTGTGAAATCACTTCTGTTTTCCTTATTAGGCTTTTCTTTGTGTCCAAAGTGCATATTGGTCCCTTAATAGTCCAATTTGTACTGGGAGCTTGTGTTCAGTAACTTCTTAGCTCAGTCCCAGATCCTTTTTCGGAGCTGTTAGTTACTAGGGTGTTTTCCATCCTGCTGTAGGTCTGTCTATTGACTTGGATTAGGAATGTAGTTGGAGCTTGGGCTGCAAGTTCAGTGGTTTATGTTCAGTGTTTTGGAAGTAATGACAACTTGTGTATGAGGAGGGTCTATACATATATATGCATTTTATTTTCTTGTATTTCAGGAGCTGTCTTGCTTTGTTACCCGATGTTACGAAGTGGTGGGGGAAGGAGGACATCAGTTGTTGGCTGTTCTATACCAGCAACGAGTAATTATTCCCTAAAATGCTGTTTGTTTTATGTAGTTAAACAAATGTATAAAATATGAATGTTCTGCCTAAGGCATGGTCATTTTTGGAATATTGTTGTCTAGGGATAGCGAGAGTGCTTTGCTGTGCAAGTTTGGGCTTTGTAAGCCGTTACGAAAGTGGATTTGTTTTATTTTCAGAAAAGGTGGTGCTTTTATAGAGTAATTATTCCCTAAAATGCTGTTTGTTTTATGTAGTTAAACAAATGTATAAAATATGAATGTTCTGCCTAAGGCATGGTCATTTTTGGAATATTGTTGTCTAGGGATAGCGAGAGTGCTTTGCTGTGCAAGTTTGGGCTTTGTAAGCCGTTACGAAAGTGGATTTGTTTTATTTTCAGAAAAGGTGGTGCTTTTATATAATGAGATACAAGAATTTTATTTTTTTGCCTTTTTTTGATAAAATTGATGCTTCAGAGGCACTTAGTCTTTATGATTAAGAGATTGTCTTATTACTCTTTCATCCTTGCTCTGTTTGAGAGAGTCCTTCTGTTGACTGATACAGTGGATGCCAGTAGCTTCAGAAGCTTAAAAATTAGATCACTTCACAGTCTGTTTCAAATATGTAAATAAATATGGTACATATTCCTCACAGAATAACCATGGTTTTAACACCTGAAGCTGAGCTTAGTAAGGGCTGTTGGGTTTAGCTCCTTTGAAAACTCTGAGGAGAGTTTAGCTTCGAATAGAATTGTTGGGTTTAGCTCTGAATATAACTGCGGGGCTCTTGATCCTTCCCCCGCCCCCGATAGGATAGCATCATTCTTCTCAGTTTTATTTGTTTCTTTTCATTTTTGTCTTACATTGTAGCACAAGGTAGACTTTCTGTATGGTGCTGAATGAACAAGGCTGCATGTGTAGCTTGGATGTGGCTTGATTAAACACATGAAGTGATTTTGTACTTTTGGGCCACAAGGCTGTATGTATCAAGGCTGCTTGCTGTTAGCATAACTGAATTGGGAATTGCCAATATACATGTGCACTGAATGAAATCAATGGTTTGAACCAGTCTCATGCTGTACATTCAAAAATGCAATATTAACTTTGATCATAGCACACAGATTTCACATAGCATGTACTTTTAATCAAATTTTGAGGTTCTTTTGTTTTCTGAAGTTACTATGTTAATGAAGAAAAATGTACCCCAAGAAACAAAGAACACACGGTGATACAGAATTGATAAATACGTTCTGTTCTAAGGACTAAAAAGGCATTAATATTTTTTATTTACAGGAATGCACCTAAAATTATAGAGACATCTGGAGTTCATTTTCAGGTGGGAATGATTTGGAACCCTTTTGCTTATGTTAATGTATGTATGTCTTGATTATTAATCCTGAGAAAAGCAGCAAGAAAGTGAGTTTCAAGTACAGCTTTCAATCTGTAATCTCCTTCAAAGGTTTTATTTTGTTAATCAGCTTTTTCTGGCCTTTATGTGGAAAGGGCTGGTATCTCCATGTCTGTCATATTCTAGCTTTCTTAGCTGAAAAGTGTTTGCACACTCCTGTGTTGTGTGCAATATGTGCTTCTGCATGTAGACAATTTTAAAAATTCTACCTTCAATGTCGAAATAGATCAGTGAACTCTAGTTTTCCTTGTGTCACTATAAGAAATACTAAATCTTTAAGATAACAAACCAAGAAATCTGATTTAACTCTCTAGCTGATAATATATTGATATATCTCTCTGATAATATATTGAAAGGAACTGAAATTTTATATGCCATACATGACTACAATAAACTTTTCAGTAACTACAGTCCTGCCCTGGGTTTTTTGTGTGGTTTTTTTGTTTGTTTGTTTTTTAAACAGGCAATGTACGAGCATCTGGGAGAGTTGCTCACAGTCTTAATCACTCTGGATGAAATAATTGACAATCATGCCACTCTGAAAGATCACTGGACCATGTATAAGAGGTGTGTCTCTGAAGGTGTGAAAAATGCTCCCACAACATAAAAGATAAAAGCATGTGTGTGTGCCTTTGTTCCAAGAAAGTTAGTGTGGGAACATGGATTTTGGTAGCCCTGAGAGTTTTCCAGAAATCTCAATGAAAAGCAGGGCTAAGCTCCCACTTTGTCCTTCTAACAGCACCAGTAAGTTTTTGAAGTGCTGAATGTTACATTTACAATACACGGTAAGCATCTTGACAAATAGAGTTATGGTTGGTGGGGTTTAAAACATATTCAATAACAAATCTAATTTTGTACAGAACTGATCTAAGACTATCCCTATCCATATTGATCATGGGGATGGGCATACAGATTTAAGTAAGAACACTATCTTAAGTAAAAGCTGAGAGTCAACAATTATAAAGGTTGTTAAATTAGTAGAATAATAACTTTCATTGAAAAACTAAATAAATGGGAGTTATTCAAATGCATATGGCTTATGAAGACCTAGTAGGTTTTTGGTTTTGTTTTTTATTTTTGGAGTTGCTGCTGGGCACAGATGTGAGCAATTAAAACCTATTCTGAAAATAGTACAGATATGATTAAACTGTTAGCATGTTTTAATTGTGTTTGTATGTATGTGTTCCACACCTACTCCTTACAGGCTGCTAAAATCTGTCCATCACAACCCTTCTAAGTTTGGGATACAAGAAGATAAACTGAAGCCGTTTGAAAAGCTGCTGTTAAAACTGGAATGCCAGTTACTTGATGGAATGATATTTCAGGTAATGAAATTAATGTTCCCCAGTATGATAGGGGAAACTATTACATTAAAGCCAGACTCTTTTTAGAATGTTTTGTTAGTTTGTTTTTATTTTGTTTTGTTTGGGATACAGTGATGTGTGAATTTGGCTCTTGCATCTGTGCATAGGAGGGAAAAAAAAAGGCTCTATTGTAAGATCTTTCTTTGCTCTTCTCATGTGCTAGAACTGTGCCAGGCTTTGAATAGTAGCAGTTAATGCTTACTGTTTTGCAGAATTAAAGAAACGCAGACAACTTGGCATTGAGACTGTGTATTATCAGGGAGTCTCTTTTTCACCAGAGATTTTAATAGTGGTCAGGCTTATATAGCATAGGTCCACTTTATTTTAGTTGCAGGTTAAAGTCTCCTCAGTAATCTTGAAAATATGTTGTGTGACCTTTTGTTATATATTTTATCTCGTTCCTAGCATATGAGACAGGTAGCTGTCATGGGGGTACCACTTCAGTGGTGTATACCCCCAAAACATGCAAGTGTACAGGTGGATGAGAAGGATTATTACTTTTTCAATACAGTTAATTTAAATGTATTCATACAAGAAGCCATCTTTTTTTAGAAAAGTGTGTATTTGAGACACTGAAATCGGATGTTGTGGCACGGTGGGCAGAGGATAGCGTTGCTGAATCTGGTCACAGCAGAGTCAATTGAACAGGACTGTTGCTCAATTCTTACTGTTACATCTTAAATGGCATAGGGAAGAAGGTTTTGTTCTGTAAAAGACTCCAAAAAGGAAATTGTAAGTAAATAATTAAACACAATTTGGCTTATTCTTTCAAAGGACACTGCTACCAGCTATCCATGTTTCATCTATATTTCTCTAATGTTGCATTAGGACAAAGGTGTCATTATATGTTTGAGGCATCAGTAGGATTTGTCTGGTATTCATTCAGGGCGTTTTCCCTCCTGTCCTGCCAACACCCCTTCCTAACAAAAACACATGAAAAATATTCTTATATACAATTCCATTAAAGAGTTTTCTAATATCTTTAGAAAATCTGAAGTGTGTCTTTTTTTTTTTTCTCTTTTTTTACTAATGTGTGGATTTTGGCAATTTTTTTTAAACAACCACCAGTGGTGTTAGGGTTTTATGCTACAAGTTCATGAACCACATCCTACAAGCGACTTGCATGATAATTTTGTGTAGTTAATGGACAGTTAGTAACATATTATAATGTAATGATGCAAATATACATCTAGTTTCTTATCATTAGCACATCATGTGGTTTCTTTAAAAATGCCTCTTAACAGAAATGTTAAGTAAATAAAATGTTTCTTTGAATGTTAGGTATAAGAGAGGTTTTTAATGTTTTCTGTTATACTAAATAATTTAATTATACTTTAAAAAAATTTGTATCTTGTGAAGTCTAAGACTAACTTCAGGTTAGTGCTATACCACATAAATCAATGTGCTCTTGCAGTATTCTTCTCTTGCAAAATCAGTATTCTTTTAAGGTTCAAAATTCATGGCATTACCATTATGCTTTTTTTTTTCCCTTTTTGCTCAGGCCTGTATAGAGCAACAGTTTGATTCTGTAAATGGTGGAGTGTCAGTGTCGAAGAACAGCACGTTTGCTGAAGAATTTGCTCACACTCTTCGCACAACTTTTGCAAATGTTGAAGCCAAACTTGGTAATGCAAGCTCATGCTTCTCTTGCCAGCTTCACTGTTTCTAAAATTGTTTGTATTGTTTGTCTGGGAGTAGCCTTCAAAAAAAAGATTTTTCTTTTTGGCGTATTTCTGCAGGTGAACCTTCAGAAATTGACCAGAGAGATAAGTATGTGGGCATCTGTGGCCTCTTTGTACTGCATTTTCAGATTTTTCGGACCATAGACAAGAAATTTTACAAGTCATTGTTGGATGTCTGTAAAAAGGTGAATGCTTTATTCTTTTGTCAATAAATAAAAGGGGGGAAAATCTTTAGTAATGAAGTAGATAATTTTCTTAGTTGTATAGCATAGCAAAGACTTGGGAAAAGAAAACACACAATTTACCAAAACAAGCCAGAAAGTAGAATTAAGATTTTTCTACTTATTGTAATTTCTTCCCCCTTGCCATTTTCTTTTAAAGATGCTCTAAAACCTGCCCACTCACTTAGCAGCAAGGTAAAATAACTTGAAATTACCATTAAAATGTTTCTTCTCAAGATTAATGTGGCACTGAGGACAAAAAAATTGTTTGAGTTATGAGTATTGTGGGACTGAATAAATGCTTTGGGTTTTGACTTTGGCTATAAACATGTATCTTGAAAGACCTTGTAAGTCCAGAGGTGATGGGGGCTTTTTCATATCAGGTGGTATTAAGAAATTATTAAATTCTCTAACACCGTTTAGAATCACTGAGAGTGATAATAACTTTGCCTGTGGTGTCCTTGGTGGACTTCTAGGAGAGAAACCTTTTTTTTTAATGTGAACATAATACTTTGTAGAAACTAGTTATGCAGAAGTAAACTGATTTGTGTGTTATGGTTCGAGAGGCATAAGAAGCATTCATGGTGGCATAGTATTTGTTGTAGTTACTTATGTTTATTGCTACTTGTAGTATTTTTCCCCCTTTTTTTCTTTTCTTTCCCCCCGCAGGTACCAGCCATCACATTAACTGCTAACATCATCTGGTTTGCTGACAACTTTCTGATTCAGAAAATACCAGCTGCTGCCAAACTTCTGGACAAGAAAAGTATTCATGCAGTTAAAACACAAAGGGAGAACTTTCTACAGCAGAAGGCACAGTCACTTACCAAGTATGCTTCCTAAATATTGCTTCATGGTGATGTTTGGCAAATAGTTTATAAACACATGGGTTTATTCATTCAGTGTACTAGCATGTTGTGTAATGTTGCTCAGCGGTGTTAAACAACTCTTCCATTTCACTGCAGCAATATGTGTGTGTTAGTGTTGCTGAAAAAGTGTTGGTCAAAATGAAGCTTTTTTCATGTCATGCTTTCAGAAAAATGTGTATTATGTCACCAAAATAACAAAGTTCCTGGCAGTTCTAAATATTTGATTGTTTCACTTATTTTTACTTACATACTTCCAACTTCCATTTTTTTTAAACTAGTGTCTAGTAACCTGAGCTGCTCTGTTTTCTATTAGGGCTCTCTGCTTTCTATGTGTTTGTGGAGGTAGGTCGCTAGTAGGCTTATAAAGGGTTTTTTCTCTGCTTGGTGATGATGCTTTCTTTGCAAGTATTTATTTTTTCATGACTGTTTTAATTGCTTGTTTAATGGTCTTTGAAATTGCCTATATTTGAAAAGGCTTCTCTTCTTTTGTGCTCTGCGTGTAGTTTGCAGGTCACTTCCTTCTCTGTTCTTTCTAAAATACATTTAAAGATGAGGTGGGTTTTTTTGAGTTTTTTTTTAATTTGTCAGTCTTATGAACAAGTGTGCTGCACTCCATAGGGAGATAACAGGGCTAAGATTTCTGTTTATGTTGCAGACCAAAACAAGAAGGTGGAAAATGAGGTCTGTGGAATAGAAGTAAAAACTTATATTTTGCAGGTTGTCTTCCAACCCTGAATACAAGCTGGCAGAACTGGGTTGGAGAAGAGTGGGGAGGGGGGAAAAGCAGCTCCATGCCTACATGATCCTCTGGCAGATTATTTTCACTACTGTCCTGTTTCTGTTTAATCCACTTCTTCCTGGTTTACATTCTACATCCACAGAAGAGTCAAGAGCTCTGACTGAGTTCTTTCATAGGCTTTAATTCCTGGATGGAGCATAATAGCACTGCTGCTTTGCTTTTGGTCTTAGGCAGTGGTAAAGTCATGTCTTGAAGCTCTTAAGATTAAGAAAAGGTTGAAAAAGATCTGGGTATTCATGGACATTTTGAGGATATTGTAATACAATGCAGATTTTGCATCTGCTGATTTGAATTCTGTCAGTAACTTTTTCTTGCTTTTTTATGAGTTCTTGCATTGCCTTTGATAATTGGACTGTTGCCTTAAATATGAGTGCTCTTTAAAGTGTAATTTTTTTATGTCATAATCAATGACCTGAATACGTTCCTGCTATAACTACTACAATAAGTAGTATTGCAGTGTCACAATTCTGTAGCATGGAATAAATAGCAGTTTTAAAAATGAACTCTATTTAAACATTTAATTACAACTTGTGTAATCAAAGAAGATTAACTTCTGGAGAATTATGCTATTTAAGAGCAGTCCAGTTTTGGCATTGATGTAATGAAAATATTTACATAAACACTAAAAAATTCAAACTTGGAGAAAAAAATTAACATAAGTGTAGGACTCTTTTGTCTAGTGTTTAAAAGCATTTTCTAACAGTTTTATATACTGTTTTAATTTAAAGAAGTGTAATATGTACTGCTAAGACGGCTCTTTGTTCTCTTGAAAGGTAGGTGATTTTGACTCTTTGGGGTATGTTTGTACAGATTTAATTGGCAGACTAATCCTTACCAATACAGAATTAAAATGTAAATGAGTATGAGGTTCTGATACTTTTGGGAACAGAGAGTTGTTACTTTGGGGACTGAAGATTTAACATATTTTCCCTTGGAAGAATTTAAGCTTTGGAAAGAGAAAAGAAAATCCTCATTCTTCTCATTTGAAGTGAGCAACATTGTTTGTTTCCTTCTCCAGAGATATGCAGTCATATTATGTTTTGGTGAGCTCGTGGATGACAAAAATGGAATCTATCTTGTCAAAGGAGCAACGTGTGGATAAGTTTGCAGAATATCTTTCTAACCGCTGCAATGTCTTCATCCAGGTGTGCAGTCTTTTAATGTGGTGATACAGCAAACGATGCAGCAAACTGATGTTTTGATGCAATTTGTTGAACATGAAAAGAAATCACAGAAGTTCTGTGATCATTGGTGTGTTATTTTACAATGTGGGAATTCTTCTAAAACTTTAAATACCCAGTAGATACTCTTTTAAGTAAATCTGTAAAAGATACTTCCATAAGGTGTGTGGGGGAAGCGAATCTGACCAAATATTCAGTGGCTAAAATTTTGAATTTTTCTCTTGACTTAGGAAATCAAGAAAGCTTCACTTCCTCTGTAGTAAAGGTTTTGGGTTTCTTTTCTTTTGAGTCAGTCATGAGGTACATAAGATGGACTGAACCAGTGTCTAATTTAGTTTTATTTAGCACAGTGCATACTTCCAGTAAGGGTTGTGTTATTCCGTTGTGCTTTGCCTAGTGATGGTACTTTGCAAGAATCTTACTACGTTCCAAGGCAGCTGGTTTTCTTTTGGCCTACTAACAGCATGTAGTCTTAATGTAAGATGCATCTTATTTTTGAGTTTAGTTTTTGCTAGTTTTGATATGTATCTATCTGCCTGACAGAAATCTGATGAGAATAGGTGTGTGATAGAAGCACGATCCTGAATCTTCCATATCTAAAGACATACATGTACTAGGATCTGTGGGTTTTATATTAGAATTATTTGCAGTGGACTTAAGTAAATTTTGCTCTGTAGCAAATTGAGTTTCCTAGACCACTTGCTGTCTTTTCCTAGTCTCTTTTTTTTTTTTATTGTTACTACTTTTCCTTTGAAATAAGTTGAATAACATTTTTGTCATGTTTTATGTAAACAACATTTTACTTAAAAGCTTAGCATCCATTGGTTTAGAAATTATTGCTTTTTTATTGTGGGATGGACAGTTCTATTTAGACAGTGTAGAACTGTAAATTCAGTGTATTTATTCCACGGAATCTGGAAGTTTTAATTTGGTTTTGTGATAGGCTGTTTTTTGGGGGAATGGGAGTTGTTTGGTGGGTTGGTTTACGATAGGTCTGAAATGATTAAGCCTTTGAGGCTGTGCAATTAATTCACTGACCTATGTTTAATTTGAATGGCTCTAGAAGAGGTCAATGATCAGGTGATCTAATGACTTGTAGGCAGTTTCATAATGTCTGCCCAATAAAAGGGTCTCACTCAGCTTTGGGATCTCGGGCTTGCTTATTAGGTGGAGTGGTAGGTTCTCTAGTGTGAAGAGACAAATGTTAGTTCTGTCATGTATGAAAGAAAACAGAGGTGACTTACTTGATTGATATGTTGTGAAAAAATTCTTCCCCTCCCTTTACTCATTTTATTTTTAGGGTTTTCTTTATGCATACAGTCTTAGCACCATCATTAAAACTACAATGAACCTCTACATGTCAATGCAAAAACCTATGACCAAAACCTCGGTGAAAGCTCTATGCAGGCTTGTAGAACTTCTGAAGGTAGGTCACTGGATGAAAACTGTTTATTTCGTGTAGGCCTTTACAGACAACATTGACCAAACATCACATATTAACATTTCCTCGCGCCGCGCCCCCCCCCCAAAAAAAAAAAAAAAAAACCCAAAAAAAACCCCAAACAAACAAA